ACTAACGAGCCCCAGCTGCATTGTTAACCCTGCATCCTGACTCAACTCACAGCAAACTTCTGCTGAGTCACAACAGAACTCTTACCTCACACCCTCACTCCCAACCAGGAAATCTACATCCACTGCTATACCAAGTCACTGCAACATTCTGCAATATTCCATCATCTTTCCCAGTCATTGATGTGATTTTACCAGTTTGGTCTATGCATAGCAATTCCTGCGTATAGCCATATCTAAGATATTATATCTTATAATAACAATTTAGTTTAGGAAAACAACTGTTAGCAACAGAATCACTGGCCCTATTCAGCAGACAAAATATTTTTTAATTGTCAAGGACCTGATTCATAACAATGTGTATCACATAATTTCCTTATCCTTTCAAGGGCGATCAATTATGTTTTTTTTTTAAAAAAAACAACCATTGTTAAAAGATAAGCCCTTGATGCTGGATTTAGCTTCAACTCAGTAGAAATAACTATCACCTTCAAGGACGATTTAACAGTATGACAAGCAATCTTTCTTGTTTAACAAAGCATGCTGTTTCTGCTTGGAAAACCTACATGACTTGACATTTGTCCTCCCAGAGAAAGTGATGATACTTTGCAAACAGGCCTGGTAATGGGTCATACATAACGAAATACAATGCCCACAGGTACGCCTGAAAGTATCTAACCTCCTCCTTTCTTTAACAGTTGGCAACGTGCAGTATTTTGCTGCAGTTGCAACCCAGACTGGAAGGCATCCACTGCAATCAAGCTGAGTGATAGATGCTCGATCAAAAACTGACAGCTGTCATCTCACACTCTGCTGAGATTCGAGGCATGCCTGGAAATAAATGGCGAATCTTTCTTTTCTTTTAATAAAGTTTGTAACATGGGTATGACAACTGGAGATGGGTTCAGGTCTGGAGCCAATTGATAGGTCCAATCTTCCCTACAGTATGTATCTGTTGCTGAACTTTCAGCCCTAGGGACTTTCAAACTCTCTTAAGTTGAGCTTAATATTGGAAAAGATGTGAGTGATTTTGGAAGTGAGCAAAGAAGTCTCAGGGAGGATTTATTATCTAGCAACATTTTGCCCCTTGGATGATCTAGCAGAATAGTCTTACTTTTATTCTATACCAAAGGAATTTGCCAGTCCTTGCCACTGGCAGTAAATTCTGTCTCGGACAAACTCACAGCAGACATAATACTGTGTTAGCCTGACCGAACTGCAACTCCTCAGAAGTCTGTTTACTGGCAGAAGCATCTTTCCAGAAAAATTGGGGTGTGTGGTGGTGAACAGTCCAACATTTCCGTAATTGCTGCAGTGGTCTCTGTAACGCGCTCTACATGGGGCTGCCCCTGAAGAGTGTTCGAAGACTACAGCTGGTCCAAAATGCAGCCGCGCGAGCGATAATGGGTGTACCTAGATACCTAAATTCGCAAAAGTATCAATGAATCTTTACTATGTTAAAGAAATAGTAAGGAGCCAGAAACAGCTGGAGAGAAAATGTGGGGCAAATTAGCTGCGTGCAACAACTATGTATAAAATGGAATTGCCTCTTTATATTTGACAAGAAGTATGGGGAGAAACCATATTAATTTTCTCCGCCCAGCATAATTCTCCTACTACAGCTAATTTGGGGCAGAACTACTTAACAGCACAGAATGGTGAACATTTGGTTCCTCCAAAGTATGAGTGATGATTGGGTGACTCAGCCATCCACACATCCATCCATTTCATTATGACAGTGTTTCTCAACCTTGGCAACTTGAAGATGTCCGGACTTCAACTCCCAGAATTCCCCAGCCAGCGAATGCTGGCTGGGGAATTCTGGGAGTTGANTGTGGCACCATCCATCCTTTTATCACCAGAAGACGACACTAACGAGCCCCAGCTGCATTGTTATTCCTGCATCCCGACTCAACTCACAGCAAACTGCTGAGTCACAACACAGAGGCTTATAGGAATCCTCAAAAGCTCCATTTGGGGCTTCAAAGCCGATTAGCAGCCAATGAAACTTTTTTCAAGGTAAGGTATTATTCTATTAAACTGGACCACTCTGCTGAGCAGCAGCATTCTGTGCCGGTTGAGTCATCTTCCACAATGTTCCACTTAAAGCAAATTACAGCACTCTAACTGAGAGATGCCAAGTGGATGAGTCACTGTTCTCAGTGCCCATGGCCACCCCTGGCACCTGCTGTTCCAGCAGGAGCCAGAAGTCCAAGCAGACTGTAAGACTGAATAACAATTTATCTATCGTAGTACAACCCCATTCATAGCAATAGGTGGAGCAACTGCCTCTTACTAGGATTCAAGCTTATTCGGTTCCCCCCCCCCCCATCCAATCCCTCATCCCCTTCAGACAAATCAAGATTTCGACTACATCTCCTGTTTAGTCCAAGGGAGAGCACTGATGATACCGAATCTCAAACTAACACATTTGAAATCTCCCCACAGCACATAGATTTAAAATGTAAGTGATTAAAAAAAATGATTTAAAGTTTTTGTGCCTTGATTTAATGGCTCTTAAATATATCAATTTCTGCTTCAGAGTGCAAAAAAAAAATGGCTTATGCAACTTTTTATATATAATTTGGATAGCCGAAGAAACCTAACTCTTTTATGAGCTCCCAAATAACATTAATTCCTTACTCATTCGTGAATTTTACAACAGCTTTGGATTATCTGAGATAATTGTGTCTAGTTATTTCCTGAGATCCCTTCCACATCAAAATCCTGGTCCAGTCTATGATTAGTGCCACCTCTTTGTTACCCCACAATGCCATTATATTTGCACAGGCTTGGGAAGATGAGCCATTTAACTACCGACTTGTCCGTTTTTAGAGACAAATGGTGCAAAGAAAGATTTTCTGGATCTGAATAATTTCCAACTGATAGGAACTCTGTTCTGACCCCCCTTCTTCGCTCGTTAACAGACGACAGTCAGACAGACTTAAAAGGAAATAACTTTATCAGTCCTGGTTCACGCTGNGCACCCTAACCACTGCGCCACCTCGGCTCTATACTGTATGTGGCAAAGGAGCAAAAGATTGGCTTGAGCAGAAATCAATGCTAAATATACCCAAGTAATATTTCCTAGGCCAGTGATGGTGAACCTTTTCAGCATTGAGTGCCCAAACTGGAATATGCGCATGTGGGGGCCCCGGAAACTTGATGGCTACCATGCACCCCTGTCACCTGGTCTTCTGGTTTCCAGCAAGTGCACCAGCCAGCTGGTCGCCAGAGCCCCAGAAACTCAATGACCAGAAGAGCAGCTGGCCACAGCGCTCTTCTGGTACCAGGCACCAACCAGGCAAACTTAAACATCTCTTTGACCAGTTTACATCATTAC